ACTAATAATGAACTGTTGTTTTTAGTAATTAAGCCTTGGGACTTGAAAAATGTTTACACAATTTTTAAGCTGAGATTTTTATTTTAAATCAGCTCTCAAGTAATATTGTTAAAACCCACTGCCAAACTTTTAGAGGACTGGATCCTTACTGAATGCAGACAAACACAAGGAGCTCAAAGAAGAATTAAAAATTTAAAATTTATATTAAACTGATGAAGTGGCAGCAAAAAATCCCCTTAAAAAATCAACTCAAGGAAAACACAGAGGAGAACCAGGCGTCCTGGAGCCATGTGCACTTATGGACACTCTTATGTTCAGAGTGTTTGTCATTAACAAAGTTATTCTAAATGATGTTATTATTGTTTGTTTTAATCTTGCTTATGTATTTTCTTAATAGTGTAACATTTTATTTTTATATAACCATATTTAACACAGGTTTTTTTTATATTTAAGACGCATCAGAGGATGTATGTTACAAATTAACCCAGGCTATAAATGATAAACTGTATTTATTAATATTAAACAATAGTCCTTTGATAAATAAACAATAAATGAAATAAAATAAACATGTAGGACTTATGGAGATCAGTTGCTGGAGTTATGGACGTTGTTCCATTGTCTGATATACCACAGAATTTCTGTGCAACAGTTCTGGGTCTACTTTTTTCTCATTTTACACAACGTCCCAAATTCTTTAGTATTGGGATTGTAAATTAGAAAACAGCCTGAAAAACTACAGATTGGGTGATTTTTGAACAGCTGCTGGAAATGATCCAACAAAAGCATCAAACATCAGTTACATGGTCTTTGGATCGCTGCTTAAATGGGTTATATTTATTATAATCTGTCAAAGAGTGTGCTGACTAAGGCAGCGGCCTCAGCAAAGAAATATGAACTGGAAAAAAAAATTTTAATCTAGAACTTCAGTCAGAGTGTGCCCGCCCTCGTTAATGGTCCTCATTACAGAGCACACTCTGATCTAATGAGCCATAATAACACCTCCTGATGAACAACCTGATAGGTGGCCCCTTTGGACTGGCCAACCTTTGACCGGCTGCCTGGACGTTGGTGTGGAGACACTGATAGGCTGTCGAGGGGTGGGGGGTCTGGCTGCTGGCCAGTGGAAGCAAAAGGATCCTGACGGACAAAACTTGACTGGCGGGGCGGACATTTGCACAACAAAGCTGAAACATGGCTGTTTCAGTGTTTCAACAACTAAAGATGAATTGCTTCACCCCTTCTATCATATTTACATGTAAAATGTTATATATTATTTTTTTAATATAATTTTTATGTAAGGAAAACTCTGATGCAAATTGTGTCTGATTTTTTTTATTTTTGTCCTTTGTTGCAAAGTGCAAAGGAGGAATTGGAAATACTGTCCATCTGTGCATGTTTTTATCATGATAATTGGAAAAATAAGTAAGGCACCAACTTCCATTGTGGTTTGTGGCTACATCTAGGCATAAACAGGTCCCTATCAAAAATTGGATTGCCAAGTCAAAATCTAAGATGGCCACCACCATTTATATATGTAAACCAGCCACTCCAATCATTTTTGGAAGCTATGCTTTTGAGTTTTTAAATCTCTTAAATGTACAGTTTCCTCAAAATGATTGGTGGCCAAGGCCACCATTGGCCACCCCCTGGCTTCACCATTGTGCCTGGCTGTAGAAAAAACTGCTCCCTCCTCTCGCTAGGATCTTTTTACTCTGTGCTGCCTTGTAAAAGAAAAAAAAAAAACTACCTCTGTTCTCAGTGTAACTCCTACACACTTGAAAATCCTGCACAAAAACATCAAGTTTACTTGCATTCCCTGTTCAATTCCAAATGAAACACTTCAAACTTTCACTGTTCAAATCCCTCAGCGACCGGGGACATCGACGTACTGCTTGTTTAACTTACAGTACTTTACAACATTGACTTATTTTGAATCATTTAAATCCTTCATGTATTACCAGATGATTTAGTTGGGCCTGACTGTTCATCAAGTTCAGCTGTTTTCTGATTCTGTATCATCAAAATGTTTGGGTGAGCCTTCATGCTCAAAGCCTGAAGATGGTCTCCATCAAAGTCCTTCACACGACAGATCTTGACGTTGTTTCTAATATGTTAGCCTCTGTTCTCTGTGTGTGTGTGTCCATATATTATAGGTGTTAAAGAAATGTTCATAAGGTAAAATATATCTTGATTTTAGGAAGGTGTGATGCATTTTTATTAAATACAAGCCATGAGGTTTTGACATGTTGCTAACTCCTACATATCATATACAAACAATTCTAAGTTCAGTCCCACACAAACACAAGAAATGACTTCATCCTTGTAACAACGTTTTACATTGTTTTACATTGTTGAGGCAAAACATTAAGATTATGAGTTTGCACCCATGGAACGTGCTTCTTGTCCAGTTTTTGCCTTGCTGTTGGGGATAAGGCTCGTCCTATAGAAAGATAATGACACCAACTTCTGATGAAGCCATAGATTTGAAATCTATGGCCCAGACTGGATCCAGATCTTGATCTTTTTCTAAGCACAAACTAAAAATAACATCAACAAAAGAACAATTGAAAGTAGGCTACAATGAGTGGTACCACGAGGACATGAACCCTTTTCTATGTGAAAAGTCTGCTTCTGACATATGTCCAATGTGCTAAATATCCTCCATCCATAAGACTTTGTGTTTAGTTTTGACTCTCCTGCTCACATAGTGTAGACTTCATGTTTAATCTTTTTATTCATGAGGTTTTCATTGCAGTCAGTGGTTACATCATTGGACATTCATCTACATGTAAAGATCTATGTCTTTGTTTGTTATTTTTAGATTTATATTTAGACGTATTCTTTGCTTTCTGTCTTCACCTCCTAGCCTCTTTGGCTTCATTTAATCTTTCCTCAGTATTTTCCATGGTTTGGTTTCTACTCTGTTCTACCACACTCTACACCTGTTCCCCATTATCATTAGTCACAGCTGCAGCGAATCCTCTCACCTCAGCTCACCTCACCCAACAGTCCCCCATTGTGTGTTTACAGTGTTCGATTGTCCTCTGTGTTCTCCTTCAGCTTTTTTGTCAGAGTCTTAACTGGAGTTACTGGGAGAGATCATATCTCTCCTGTTTTAGCTTCTCTCCATTGGCTCCCTGTCAAGTCCAGAATATAAATAAAAATCTTACTTTTAACCTACAAAGCTCTCAACAACCTAGCTCCATCTTATATTCAAGATCTTATTGTTCCATATTTTCCTAACAGAGCACTTTGCTCTCAGACTGCAGGTTTACTTGTGGTTCCTAGAGTTTCCAAGAGAAGAATGGGAGGAAGATCTTTCAGTTATCAGGCTCCTCTCTTGTGGAACCAACTTCCAGTTTTTGTCAGTGAGGCCGACACATTGTCCAGTTTAAAGACTGGACTTAAGACTTTCCTTTTTGATAAATCCTAGAAATAGGGTTGGCTTGTTATGCTGCCTTAGACTTAGACTACTAGAGGACAAATTGACCTCATTTTGTTAAATGAATTGTTAAAATTGAATAGTTTTCATTTGATACTATTTTTATCTTAACATTTGATCTTGACCTGCCATTGTGTATCTGTTCCTCTCAAACCCAGCTGGTTGAAGCAGATGGCCACTTGTCCTGAGCCTGGTTCTGCTAAAGGTTTCTTCCTCATGAGGGAGTTTTTCCTTTCCACTGTCTCCTTCCTGCTTGCTCAAGATGAGAGCTCCGTGATGGAGTTAAACTCAAATCAGTCTGCTCCTCAGATAAATAATGTTATTAACTTACTTTTTATGTATATGAATGTTTCTGTTCAGTGCCTTGAGACGACTTCTGTTGTGACTTGGTGCTGTATAAATAAACTGAATTGAATTTTGTAAGTAGCTGTTTCCACGTTGGCCTGTTGTTTTGTTTATGAATTAAATTTAGGTTTTATTCCACTCAAACCCTTTCTTTTAGTCTGCATTCCTGGGTTCTACCTTTGAAACTGTGACAATACAGCTAATTAAAGTTTAGAGTCCATCCAGTTCAGGATGGTTCCCACAGCAACTGAGCCCAGAAACCGCTCAAAAATTAATATAACTCAGCCATTTTTGTGAATATTGAGCTAAACTTTGGTAGTCAACAGCCATTACAAACACATACTCTGAGTGCAAACAGATTGCTTGAGATCTCGTAAATTGCATGGGATTATGCAAAACATTATTTAAAAGATTTGACCCAAATAGTTGCGAATGTGACAGCAAAGTGTCTCAGCTGGTAGAGCTGTTGCTTCAGTGAGAATGTCGCCAGATTAAATCTTGGCCAAGGACTTTTCTGGGTGGAGTTTGTATAAGGGTCTTGCTCAAGGGTCTAGAGTGGGGCAAATGAGGGTGGAGGCAGATTTGAGTGCTTCATCTTCTCCACCCACACTTTGAAATTATGGACAGCAGGAGATTTGAACCAGCGACCCTACCGATCACAGGTTCACTTCTCTAATGCCACCACCAGGAAAGGAATCAAGGAACAAAATTTAAGATAAAAACTGTATAGTTGTCGTCATCTCTTTGATCCTGGAAACCTTCCTTCCTTTCACCCAACAGCCTTGGACGGTTGTGGATAAACGGAAGCAGGGGGTGAAGACACAAGCGAAGAAAAGGAGTTGACACAAATAAAGATGTAAAATCTGAACCATTTCTGAGAAAGAAAAACAGAACTTCAGGGTACCAGAAGCAGGAGATGGACATCTTTCAATCATCGTCTCTGGTTTTTCTCCATGAATGACCAACAGAAGCTGTAAGGAAGGGTGGAGGGTGACAAGTGGCTCTCTGTCTCCCCACCCACCCCTCTCATTTCCTCTCATTTCATCTGCCCCTGTGCTTCTATATAACCTCTGACACAGACAGTGTCCCGAGCAGAGGAGGATAGGAAACAGCAGGTGTCCATCTGGTACCAAGACACAGATTTTTCAGTTTGTCTTGTTTTGGGAGCAAACACTCTATTTTTAATAAAGAAAGGTTTTGATTGGAAGGATCCATGTTGAACCAATCAGCGACCATCCTGAGGATTACCTCACTGCTCCTGCTGCTCATGTGTGGCTCAGGTAAGGCCTGCTGATGAACCCCAAAACTAGGCGAGGCTGTCTGTGTTGTAACTAAATGTTTTGCTGCATGTCGGGTTTCTAAACGACTAACGGTTGAACAAATGCTGGTCCGTGTGAGAAAGAAAAAACTATTACAAAACAGCAAATTTCATCTCTGCAAGTTGTAATAAAAAACAATTATTGTCACACAAAACAAGAAAAAGATTGTTTTAAACATGTCTCGGTGTTTTCTCCTTATAGAAACCAGGAGAAAAAGCTGAAAACGGATGAATGAAGTCGTTAATGATTTATGAGCGTTTTAAATTGAAATGAGACGTTTCAGTGTTTTTTTATTTGAAAATAGTTTTCTACATAAACATTACAGACAAACAAGTATAAGTGCAATGTGTTGTCATCATTGTATGTTCCCATGAAAATGGTTCTCTGCATTTAACCCATCATGTATGTATGTATGTTTTATTTATTCATTTCATTTCATCCAAACAGCAAATATAATACAATTTAAAGAAAAGAAAAAAGATATACAATCACCGAAATAAAATGAAAGGCAGCAGAAGAAGAATGAGTTCTTATAATATCTGCCCCTTGTCCCCAAAATATATTCCAAACAAAATTACTATACAAAAGCAAGATGAATTAATAAAAAAAATAAAAAATAATAAAATAAAAACTTATCATGCCTGAGATATACCCAGGTGGAGCTGTGGGCAGCTATGTAAATGCCCGGGGAGCAATTAGGGATTAGGTGTCTTGCTCAAGGACTCCACAACATTTGGGCATGGCTGGGAGTCGAACAGCGACTCTCTGGTCCCAAGTCTGCAGCCCTACCTACGTAATGTTTTTATGCTATTAGTGCTTAGTGTATATTTAGTTGATGTTTTTCTTAGTTCATATCTTAGATCTTAATGTTTTTCTTTTACATTTTATTGTTGGATGCATGTGGGACCCTGTGTACATCATCTCGTTCCACCACATGTACCACATGAGATGTGAATGACAAATAAATCTCTTTGAATCTCTGAATCTCTACCTCTACACCATCTCAGCTCCAAATGCTTTACTAGGAAACGCACCAGTCTCAGTAATGCATCTGTAGTCAGTAATAGTCCATAGAGTAGTTTGTTTAGTATTGAAGCTGTAAAAGCAACTAAACTCCTCTCTTGTCCCACGCAGATGCAAAACTGGATATTATTTCAAGTAGACAAGATTACCGGGTGGGAGAGGAGATCTTGCTGTTATGTAAAGGTGAGAAACGCTTTGTCTGGTGGCTTCTAATTACTTTCTTTATTCAAGTATAAATATTCCAAATGAACAAACTCACCTTTTTTTATAACAAGTTTGTTTTAATAAGTTTCTTTCTCTTCATCTCGTCTCCTGCAGCCGGAGCTGATGGAGATGTCACGTGGTACAAGAATGGTGATGAAATAGACGATGATGAAATTGTGTCAAAAGTGGACTACACTTCCTATAAGCTCCTCATCAGGAAGGCTAAGATGCAGGATGCAGGGAAGTACACTTGCGCGTGTGAATTTGACAATGGGCACAAGTCTGACACCCAGATAATTCTGTATGTTTATGGTAAGCAACAAGTGGCTCACTCAAACTTAATACCCAAATATTCTGATTTGATAAGCTGTTTGCTCTTTTTTCTTGAGTAGAAATGGTTAAAATTGGTTCAGTGCATTAAAAGTAGCATCCCTGTCTTGTCCTCCTTTGTCAGACGGTCCATCATTTGGTGGCACAAACACTTACCACGAGTTTCTGGAGGGCACAGACGGAGTGGTGCCGTGTCTAGTGACCGGGCTGCCCACAGTGGATGTTCACTGGCTCCGAGACAAGCAAGACATCCCGTCCATTGGTGAGAGCAGCGGTCATAGCCTGAAGCTCCCCTGCATCACGACGGGTGGACTTACAATGAAAAACGTTTCACACATTTTGATTGGTGCTGCGCAACATGTTTTCAGATATACTTTCAATCCAGTTATCTTCCAAATCAGCTAGTTTATAATACATTTATTCAACAAATCAAATACCTAATACACATTAATTGCATTGGAACATAATTTGTAGAAATTGTGTGAAATTATTGTGTAATTTTTTTAAAGTTAGCAGACTATTAATGCAGTAAAAGCTCAAATATTTATTTCCAAATCCACTTAAAATGAGGTACAGCATTGTCTGATTTTCTGTTCATACCTTTTTCTGCAACTGTTTGTTCTTCAGCAGGAAGGCGTGTTCGTAAGTTGCCCGATAACTCACTTTATATTGAGAAAGTTCAGAGAGATGATGCTGGAACATACGTATGTCAGGCCCAGATCAGAGGAAGACCCATCTATCAGCAGCTCACTGTCTCTGTTGTCGTCAATGGTTAGTACATCAATTGTTCTATCATCTCCAAATGTAATAATAATAATAATTTAAAACGTCATTAGAAGCAATTATAACGTTCTTTTCTTTTGAATATTAAGAGTAAATTTCATCAACTCTGGCCTCCTTTTGCAGCTCCTCCTACTGTGACGCTTAGAGAGGAGGTGAAAAAAGTGATAGCCGGACCTGAGACCAATGTGTCCTTGTTGTGTTTGGTAGACGGTCTGCCAAAACCCAACATCACCTGGACCATGTAAGCCACAGTTTGATACAGATCAGACCTGTTTATTCTCTGACTCTCCAAATTCACAGGATGGGAAATATTGGTTTACACCCAACCTTCTCTCTGCCTCCCTCTTCTGTCCTTCTATAGGTTTAAATCTTCTTGTAGCATATTTAGATTTCACACAAGCACGGCTCACTGCAAGACTTAAACACATTTCATTTTGTTCTTTGTTCCAAGGCCGGTGACATTTGACCCCTCCCATCACCAGTTTAACTCAGATCGCAGCCAGCTCTCCATCCAGTCCGTTGCCCGGGCCGACTTTGGAGAGTACATCTGCACCGCCACCAATAAGATCGCAGAGAGCAGTGCAACCATAATGCTTCATGTTTTTGGTTGGTTTGAGTCTACATTACGTGCACGTTCGTTCATCCTTTTGTCTGACACTGGAATGACAACGTGGTGCTGTTTTACTTCAGAGGCCCCGGAAGTGTTTGTGTCAGTGGATCAGCAGCGTGTGGCCGTGGGTGAGCGTGTAGCTGTGTCCTGTAACGTGACGGGCCATCCTCAGCCTGAGCTGCACTGGCTCAACAAGCAAAATGGGCAAACACTGGTAGGAATACACTGTATAACAGCTGTAAAAGCTGGAATTCATGCAACAACATAACATCTCCCACTGTATTGCTATTTCATCTTTGATGCATGCTAATCTAGATGCAAAGTGTTTTCTAAAATCTTTATCCTTTTATTCCCCCAGGATTCAACTGGTCGTGTCCGTGCTGTGGACGGTGAGCTGGTGATCGATGAAGTAGTGCCCTCTGATGGTGGGTTGTACTCCTGCATGGCAGTCAGCACTTCTGGAAATGCATCGAGAGACGTTGCAATACACAGTAAGAGTTTCATCTCGACTGAAATAAAGAAAAGTTAACTTGCTTTTGGTGCACATTTAAAAATATTAATATTTTCACCAACCTTTCTTCATCCACAGCCCAGCCAGGACCACCTCATTACCTGTCAGTCTCTCCGGGCCCAACCTCAGTCCTTTTCTCACTCAAAACGTTCCCCATCAGTGGAGGAACGCCGATCACAAGTTTTGTCCTGCAGTGCAGGAAAAGTCCGACAGAAGAGTGGCACGAGACCGTTGTTTCAACTTCAGGTAAAGCATTTACCTGAAGACTCTGTATCTGTTTCAACTAACATCCTCAGACAGAGCACAGAAAATGAGGCTGTAAATTTTGATTTGTTGCAGATACTTTGGTCATCACCAGCCTTAAACCGTACACAACCTATACAGTGCGGATGGCGGCTTTAAACGCAGCAGGACTGGGACAGTTTTCAATCGAAAACAGAGTTCGCACCGAGGGAAGACGTAAGTTTTAACACAAACGCACAAAAAACATACTAAAATGTTCATTAAACCCAACTTTTGGTGCATAAACATATTGTGTGTGTTTCGAAATTAAAAACTTAACAGATTTTAGTTTTCATACAAGAAAACTGTAAATCTTTTTATTTTCACGTGCCATTACCAAGTTCTCTTGTTTGTCTCTCATGTAACCATCATTCTAACATTTTCATGCCATCGTTCTCTGCTGCCTGCTGTTTGCTGATCCTGCTTCTGTTATCCATGTAATCCACTGTCATCCTTTCACAGAAGGTAGAGTACTCACGTACAGTAAAGGAACTAAGAATTAATAAGAATACCTACATTCTATGAAAGCAATCCTGTTCCTGTTAGGTGTAATGGTCATATATTTCCCCCTGCGTTTAGGAGAACCGGACAGGCCAGTTTTGTCCACTAATGAGATGAAAGTCGAGGGGAACTCCTTCTCTGTTCCTGTAAGACAGATTGATGATGGGGGATCCACCCTTCTGCATTATGATGTTCGATACAAACAGGTGCAACCCCATGTCAGTCATTCGGTGTATACCTCCATCATACTTCTTCTTCCTGTTTAATCTTTACCTTCTTGGGCTCCTTTTACCCAGGATACAGAAGGGTCGAAGTGGAAGGAAAGTGAGCTACCATCTGATGCTGAGGCTGTCAGTCTTAAAGATCTTGCCTATGGCTCAGACTATCAACTGGAAGTAAAAGCGGTCAATGCTAATGGTTCCTCGTTGCCCGCCAAATTCAACTTCACCATTGCAGAACAGCCTGGTATGACGACTTCCTACTACATTAACTTCTCAGAATGCACATGAAATCCATTCCATCAATTGCAGTTATTTTCTTTGTGACTGAAGTGAGCAGCATGACCAAAGGCAGCGTGGTGGGCATCGTTATGGTCATCTTCGTGGTTGTGTTCCTGGTGGTAGACGCCACCTGCTGCTACAGAAACCGCTGTGGTCTGCTCATGTCCATCGCTGTGAAACTGTTTGGACAGAAGGTTCCAGGTCTTAAAATGGTGGAGGAAGGAGACGGGAACACTAATGGGTAAGTGCTTAGAATAAAAAAAAACGCCTGCAAGAAAAATCTGTCTATGACATCATAATTTTAATATTTATGTGGATTCTTGCTGCAGAGAAGTTAAGCTGAAAGGTATTTCCCAACCAAGAGGCAGTTTACAGCAGACAGGGACTCAGACGCTGAGCAAGGAGGGCGGTCCGCTCACAGAGGTCACCTGCGACAAAGCCCCTCTCACCAAACATGAGTATGTCTGTTCTCCTGAATACTGTAACTGTACATTGAGTGGAACCCATTTTGCTACTGATCTAGTTATTTACACTGTAATATTTAGAGTTTTGCTTTATTTCAACACATTTGTTGTTTTCACAGGAAAACACATCCCCCCGTCATTGATGCGTGAGACCGGAAACTGAAAAAGAGTTTAAAACAAGATGACATCATACTGTACACACTTCAAAACAAGAAGTCAACTATCTGCCATGGAAAGAGCGAATGTGCTGACACACCTTAAGAATGGACAGATTTGATCAGCGTGTGTTGTCCTGGGCTGATCCAGCCCTTTGTGCTGTTAAGGGAACTTGAGTCTGAGTGTAGCTTCCATGTTAACATTTAAAAAAGATATTTAATTTAGATTACATCAATGTCCTTCAACAGGGTAATGTTTAAAATCTTGAATTGATTTTGAATATTGATATTGACTGTATGTGTCTTACAGGGTAAAACTGTTGTTATGAGATAACAACAAGAAGTCAGTGACACTGGCATTGTTGGCACAGCAAATGTTTAAATGGTGCATTTTATGCTTTAATGACATGATGTTAATAATTATTATTACCCACATACCTTTACCATTAACATTACGGCCACTTCAGTTAAACTGATGGCGTTTTATCTGAATTTTTATCACTTCAGAGTGAATCTAAATGGAAAATATGTGCCCATCTTCATTTTTCAACCACACCAGTCAAACAGGAAAATATTTGTCATGAAAGGATCTGAAATTGATCTAAAACTATTTTCATCTTTGCAGATTTTCGCACTTTTTGAGTAATTTTGTTTTCAATTGTTAGCACTGTCAACTTATGGAAATTGTAACTAAGAGTCTTTTTGTTATTAGTGTATTTGCAACCAATCACTTGTACAATATATTTACACTAACAGAATGTAAAAAATAGCAATTTTGTCAATATTTTTCAGAGTAAATTAGCATATTATCTGCAAAATGGTTCATGCTTTTGCATGATTTATTGTGAGGAAAAGGTGTTCATACAGATTCTTTGTCCATACCACTAAATCTCTGATTTAACAATGTACATGGCTTTGTATATGTGCTGTATATTTTCATATTTGTGGTTTATAAACTTGTAAAATAGCCTTGTATCTTGTTTCTCACTCATCACATTAATTTTTTGACATTTCTCTGGCAAACAGTATAATTACACATGGAAAATTAATGTTTGTCTTTATTATAATGGCCAGACGCAAAGTTATTTTATATTCTTAACAGAAGGTGAGAACATTTAGATAATGCTACATTCAAATGCAGTAAAAGGAAGGTTTCTGATCATACCATACCATTTTATTTAGAGCACACTTAAAACAACTACAAGGCCAACCAAAGTGCTGTACAGACAGAACAACAGACAACACACGAAGCAATATACAAAATGAAGTAAATCAAAAATATGGACATGAAAACGATGCAGATAATAAATATGACGACAAACCAGTGTGGAGCGTCCAGGTTCAAAACACAGATCCTCTGGTGTTGAAAGCTACTGAATAGTAGTGGGGTTTTAAACGGGATTTGAAAACCGAGAGGGAGGGGGCCTGTCTGACAAGCAGAGGTAACTCGTTCCAAAGTCTTGGTCCTGCTACAAAGAAGGCTCTGTCACCTCTGCGCTTAAGACGAGTTCCTGGAACTGTGAGGAGCAATTGGTCCGCTGATCTCAGGGAACGACTGAGGTAGAATCATATTCACAGGAAATTAACGATTCAAAGTGTCTTTGTGGTTTCACGTTTCGCTGAATGTCATAAGCAAGTTCAGTCAAACGTGGCACAAAACTTTGTCACTGTTCCTTATTTTTGTTATTTTAAAAGGAAGGTGTTGTCCCTCTTTAATTTCGTTTTAACTTTCAAAGCAAAAATATCCAAACCAATGACACAAACCGTAGTTTTATATTTAATGAAATTAGAAAGCTGATGTTGATCTAAAATGGACTCAGATCTTAGCAGTAAATGTTTTACTGGAGTTTTACATGAACCTCTAATTGTAATGCTCCTTCCAGGCACAGTGAACTTACGTTGGCCTTTAGAAACATCCACACTGAATTTCCTCAGGAAATTACTGATACCAATTTTTTTTTGTCCTAAAAACCAAACCTCGCATCTGTTTACAAACAGGGTAAACAGTGTTTGCATTTGATCGTATCGTGTTTAAACAGCATGGAACAGATAAAATCAGTCTCGTAAAACGCTGCCAACTGCTGTGCAGGAAGGGCTGTGCACAGGCTGTGCGTCGGATCCGACAACATCAAAAAGAAAACACCGAGCAAAACAGGAACTTAAGTTACGCTCCAAACTGGATGTATTGCTCGTATTGATTATTTGTGACAAAAATGAGACTAGAAATAATATCTTTCATTTATTATTTACTGTAGAACCAACCAAAAACTTCTGAGCCTGCAGAGAATGTCAGCTTGATTTATTTTTAGACTCATCTTAGTAAATGTCTACATTTTTCTAGAATAACAACAACAACATAAACAACAATATAAACAAGTTGTTAAAGTATGGCAACTACTAAACACTTCATTAAAGTTATTTTGTCAATGATTTGACACAACTTTTCTAGAACCATGCAGATACAGATTACTTTGATTTCAACATCTCCATCTTCTACCACTTATCCATAATCAGGTCATGGAGGCAACAGATCCAGAAGAGAAAGCCAGACCTCCCCAGCAACACTTTCCAGCTCCTCCTCGGTATCCCAGGCCAGAGGATATACACTCCCTCCAGTGAGTTATGAGTCTTCCCTTGGGCCTCCTACCAGAGGGAGGCGTCCAGGAGGCATCCTAATCCTAACCAGATGCCGAACCACCAACTAACTCCTTTAAATATGAAGGAGCAGCCGCTCTTCTCCGAGCTCCCCAATGGGTGATGGAGCTCCTCACTCTACCTCTAGAAATTAAGGTTGAATGAATATAAATATAAATAAAACATGATTTTTTTTTTTTTACTTTATTGAACACAATATACAAAACAAACAGGTACTGAAATTAACAAATAGCACCTCCAAAACAGTGACAAGACTTGTGAACTGGGTCCGTTGTAAAACAAGTACAAATTATACAAGATAATCAGAGATACTATTTAAGAACAGATTGGACAGAAAAGGATAAAGAATAACAAAACAGAAAATGAAAATGAAATTAAAATTTAGTCAAAGGAATTGGGAAAATATAAATTGTAATTAGAAAGAAACAAATTGGCTTTAAAAAAAATGATTAATCAATTTAAGGGAATCAATCAGATATTTTAGTTCTGACTGAAAATGAATAAAATTTGGGATCGAGTTTGCAAATTTTTGTTTGTGGATGAAAAATTTTGCACATAAAATGATCAAATTAAGTATATGTTCAAATATACAATTTTCAGAGTTACTGTACTAGCAAATAATATTTTGCAGATTTAATGAACATGCAATTTTAGTCGATTGAAAGGTGTAAGGTTTCAAGGTTTTGGACCTTGTCAGTCCAAAATTTTTGGGATATGTCACAACTAAAAAATAAATGCAGTGTCGTTTCTAAGTTTGTTTTACAAAAAGTACAAGAATCATTAATATATGTGAATTTAGCAATGATACTGTTCACGGGATATATATTATGTAAAATTTTAAAGTGTACTTCTTTGGCTTTGTTAGAAATACAGAATTTGTGGGGTAAGAGCCAGGCCCTTCTCCAATTTATGTCATCAATTTGAGCTCTCCAATAAAATTTACCTCCGGGTACTACGTGTTTTTTTTTTTTATGAAAGCACTGGCGTATGTGTCTATTGTTACATTTTTTTTAATCTGTTAGTTTAATTCCTTCCAGTGAGAGCGTGGGTAGTGTTTCCATAAATTCACTGTAACACACATGACTTTTATCAAGCCGAATTAACTCTTTGGGAATAGCTTTAGTTATCATATTAAATTCTCTGAAAGGAATAGGAAAACCATGGACAGACATAAAGTCACATAAGATAACATATTGCCAGTATTATCAAAAAGATAAGAATGTGGTTGATATATTTATTGAACCAGTTAAGAAAAAAAAAGATTTGCTCCTAATCAGAATATTGCAGTTATTCCAGAGGAGCTTTATGGGGTGAAACATTGTGGACAAAAGCCAGTTTCCAAGCTAGAAGAGCCTGCTGATGAAATTTGGACAATCTGATGGGTAATTTGTTTGGTAAAAAGTTACATTTCAAAAGGAAAAGATATGGTTTGGTATGAAGAACCACAAGGAATCAGGATTTATAAGACTTTTTTTTTTTTAACCAGTTAACCTTCAATGTGTTGATGGTGTCAAAATAATCTAGGATTTCAAGACCACCTTCTGCTTTTCTGTTTGAGAGAACCCCTTTCTTAACTTTATGTGATTTATTCTTCCAAATAGAACATGACTGGTGTCAGTGGTGGTACCTGCAGTATGACGTCATGTAGGTCTGGAAACGCCCCCAATCAGTCTGATTTCTTCCTGCTGACACGAAGCACATGACCAGGCGTGTTTACACTGTCAGGCACACGCTCACTCCGCGACCGTGCATTTGTCAGTTTGTTAAACCAAGACAAAACCTGGCCTTGTGCTAGCTGAAGACCTTTCTGTTCGGGGAGACGCTCTCTGGAAGTTGGTGAGTCCCGAATATTAGCATCATTAGCTCCGCTGCTGATTAAAGAGCCTCTTCCGTAGCAACATCCGCTAGGTTAGCATGCTAACGTCTCATTGGGTTAGGTCGCTGCTGCACCTTAAAGGCGAATCATTTAATCCTGAAGTGACCATTTCAACTCCTAACGCCGTTATTCTGCCTGTTTTGGTTAGCTTCCACCGTTCCGGTGTTTTGTCTCAAATGACAAACATTTTTTCAGCCCCGATAAGGAAATAAATGACTGAACGAGCTGGCATTTTGTGTCTTTGATCAGAGGGTGAAATCACAGGTGTGACAGCTGTGACTGACAATTAAAGTGATCAACATGCTGTAATGCATTTGACTAATTCTCAGTTAAAAAAAAAAAAAGAAATGGTTGCTCTTTTAAAGCTACCAAGCAGGTTAGTATCACATCACACCACCTTCAGCATGTTCTTGGTATGAGGTAATTTCCAGCAGCTGTAATAAGTGTTGTTCAGGTTGATTCATTCTCAGTGTTGATGCATTCTAGCGGATTAACAATTTAGTAGAAATACTGTCTTATTTATAAATTACAGGAGATTAACCATCTGCTTGCAATGTACAACAAAATCTACACAAACTGCTCACTTTGAATACAAAAAAAAATGGCTGTCAGGACTTCTATTTACTGATGAAGTCTCTTACACTTGTGGCAAAACTGAATTAACACTCTGTTTTCCAGCTCCAGAGAGCCTCTGCTGGTCTGTCCCCAGGAGAAAAGTTGAATCTGTGCTCCAGGAAGCAGCCATGGATGACACGGATGTCGAACGTGAGTTCTCTTCTCAAAGACGTTGGTCTTTTATGTTGGAAAGCTTGGCTGCAGAGGTGTCTCAGACAGTTTACTCATCTACATTTAAACTCTTTTCATAAATATGTTTTTTGTTTCTTTCCTCCCCCTTTAGAAGTGACACTGGCTCTACTGGATGCAGCCAATGATAAGGACTCAAACGTCCAGGAGCAGGTCAGAAAGTCTATGCTGACTTTGGGAAAGCAGCAGCCAGATCGAGTGCTGGCTATGTGTCAGGACTACCTCCTGAAGAACCCAAAGGTAAAACCCCACAAGGGCTCCATGACCATCTCAAATTTAGTGTCGGGTACACTCTATCACTGATGCAAGTTATTATTATAACTTGTATCAGTGAATCTACTTCATACTACAAAGTGTGCTAAGATTAGATCAAATCTGATCCTGAGCCATTCATAAAAATAGATGCCTCAAGGTGCAAGAAGTGACAAAAGTGATTGTTAGATAAAAAATGTTCTCTCTTAACTTAAAGAAAAGGACTAGAGTTGCATTGGGGCCCAAAAAAAATCAGATCCGACCCAGCTCCAGCCCACAGCCATCATTTCTGAACCTCACCTGACCCAACAAATTAACAGTAATTACAGGTCCGAATCCGGAAAATCCCGACATTTTTAATTAGTTATGAACGGTCGGGGATGCGCGGCTGAATAAAAGCGGCAGAAGATCGGAGCTGAAGAGGTGTTTGTCCTTTCATGGTTGTAAAAGAACATTGAACCCCTGCTTCTGCCTGCATTCTGATTTGTTCACACACCCTGCTCTGACACGTCTGCTTTGGGATCTCACCTGTTTGAGTCGTCGGTTGTGCGCATCCGCCGAGTGCAGCAGCTGAACGAACGTCCATTTGGGCGGCGAATCACTTCCTGGCAGTATAGTCCCATCTGAAGCTTAACTGGTGGCTCGGGAATCTGGTTAGGATGCCTCCTGGACGCCTCCCTCATGAGGTGTTCTGGGCACGTCCCACCAGGAAGAGACCTAGAGGAAGACCCAGGACACGCTGGAGGGACTATGTTTCTCGGCTGGCCTGGGAACGCCTCGGGATTCCCCTGGAGGAGCTGGACCAAGTGGCTGGGGAGAGGGAAGTCTGGGCCTCCCTACTTGGGCTGATCCCATGACCCGACCCCATATAAGCAGAAGAAGATGGATGGATGGATGGATGAAGAGGTTCAATATTATAAACTCTGGAGTCACACCCTACTCAACTGAATAACTCCTAGACATGAGCTACAAATGTCTCATTCCTCAAGTCATTACATTCCTGAAGCAGAGACGACGTCAGAAGTGTCTTACCTGGACTGAGGAGACAAAGAACTGGACTGTCTCTCAGTGGTCCAATGTCCTTTTTTCAGATGAAAGTAAATTTTGCATGTCATCAAGGTCCCAGAGTCTGGAGGAAGAGTGGAGAGGTCCAGATTCCATGTTGCTTGGAGTCCAGAGTGAAGTTTCATTCGAAGTGTCATTTTTCACCACTTTTATTGTCTGTCCAAACAGGTCTCACTTGTAAATGAGTCTTTGAGGCTCAATGTGACTTATCTGTTTAAATTAAGGTTGAATGAATGAATGGGGGAAAAAAGTTTCCACAGTCAGTGATGATTTGGGTCCATGTCCTCTGCTGGTGTTGGTCCACTGTGTTTTCTGACGTCCACAGTCAATGCAGCATTTACCAGGACATTTAGAGACTTCATGCTTCTTTCTTCTGATGAGCTTTATAGAGATCTGCTCCCGCCCACACTGGCAAAGGTCCCAAAAGCTGGCTGTGGAATATTATACTTTTCTGAGATGATGAATTTTGTTTTTTCATTATTTTGTAAGTTATGATCATCAAAATCACAAGAAATAAAGGCTTGGAATATTTCATTGTGTAGTGAATACAAGCAATAAATGAGTTTCCATTTGTCCATCATCTTCCTGTTATTCCAAAGTCAGGCCTTTGGGGCAGCAGCTTGTGCAGGGAGGTCCAGACATCTCTTTCCACAGCCACCTCTTCCAGCTCTTCTGGGAGGACTCCAAGGCGTTCCCAGGCCAACTGAGAGACGTAGACTCTCCAGTGTGGTCTGGGTCTTCCCTGGGGTCTCCTCCCAGTCGGACAGCCTCCTTAGGGAGGCGCTCAGGGGGCATCCTTACTAGATGCCTGAATCACCTCAAATGGCTCCTCTCGATGTGGAGGAGCAGAGGTTCTACTCCGAGTCAACCGTCAACCCAATAATTGATCGTTTGTGCCCTAACAATGCTAGAGCACCAACGATCAATTATTGGGCTGATGGTCCTCCTTTTTGCATGAGAACAGCTAGTTCTGGATGTCACCAGCAAACGTGTTGATCTACTATGAGGAGGTGCTGCTTATAAAACTGTTGCAGCTCCTCAAACTGAGAGTTCTATGTCGTATAAGCTTCGCCCTTTAAGGCCTTCGCTTTAGTGGGTTTATCCCGTTATGCAGAGCATAAGCACTGAAAAAATTAGTCCACGCCCACCTGCTGTGTGGGCCCCACCCGGTCCGTATAAATTACGTTAAGAGCGGGAAATCGGCTCCCATTTTTTCTTCAGCGAGCTAATATAGCACTGTCAGAAGAACAAAGAAGATAAATTGTGTAAATGACCAACCTTGTGAAGGATGCTTGGCCCGGCAGTCGACCTCCGGTCGTCCGGTGAGTTCTCCTCCCCGAGGAGAAGATGACAGCAGTCTTATTCCAAGGTAAGCGTCGTGGAACATTTCCCAGTGACAGGTCACTACACGCTGGACAACGCCATCTTGTGTTTTTTCCTCTTATCGCCGACCCTCGGGGCGAACCGGATGGTTCCTCCGGGGCAAGGCGTGCTCAGCTGCAGCCCCCGCTGCTCATTCCCTCCCGGGGAGCGTAGTGTAGGTGGAGGGGGGCTGAGTGAATGCTCACCCCATCCCACCTCGTTTCGCATCGGCGATCACACCGCTCCCGGCCGACAGCGCCCTCAGGGGTTGCCCGGCGGAACCCGGGAGGAGGCTGACATGAAGGGACCCCCTTTTTTCTACGTCCCTCGCCTTTTCCCGCCAGTTCGGATGATCGGCGGGAAGGTTGTTTTTCACTGGGCTCCACTGTGGCTCACCGTCTTGATCCATACGGCCTCGCGTTCCAACAAGACGTTCCACGGGCGAGGCCGCAGACGGTTCTTTCCTGGTAGATTAGAGGAGTCGGTCCCCAGTCCGCTCCCATCACCAGAGTTGAGGGATTCACCGAGCGGGGCTATTCCTCGGTAACCCCCCCTGGAGCCAAGCCTCGCGGAAGCTTCCGGAGCGAAGCTGCCCAGGTCGGAGCAGCGTCCCGTCCCTCCGGAGGAACACGAACCAGACGGCGAACACGCTCTCAAATCGAGCCCACCAATGTGTTTTCAGGCAGCCGCAGTTAGCAACAACGTGCGCTGCTAGCATATAGCATGTCCAAGGGATTGAAGGCCGCAGACCTGCCTTGGAGACAAAGAACTCACTCTGTAAAGGCAGCTGACGCCAGCTCAACATGTGTGCCTCTCCCACGTTTTGCCTGTCGAGGACTGCAGCGCGGAGGACGATGATCCAACGACCCACCTGGCTTCGTTACTCCCCTCGCTGCCGGAGAATCTGCACAAGACCTGATGAAGCCGCTGGAGGGACCGTCGCGAGCAAGCTTCGACTTTTCCACGGCCGCGGCTCTCGCTGAGTTCCACCACCAGCCCCGCCCGTCAGAATCCAGCCCTCTTCACTCCGGCAGCCTGCAGCTCAGCGTTTCCCCAGAGTTCGCCTGCAAGACAGCGCTCTGGGCAAACAATCGCAGAGCTCATGAGAGAGAAAGCTCTCAAAATGACGGTCTCCGGAGGGTGTGTGTAAAAGTGACACGAAAGTTGAAATAAATCATCATTAATGATCAAAGTGTCTGTTTTTTAGCCAGTCTGTAAGCCCGGATGAGCTCACAGCGGCCGCACACATAAGAGCCGGTGTCCTTTATAAGGCTTTTTAAACTCACCGCCGCTCCAAGACATTACCAGTCGCTTACAGGGCACGATGGTAAGTGAAAATAGCTCGTTATAATCCCGGGCTGCACGTTTTTTCACCCAAGCGATGTCAACTCGCACTCGTGGGATGAAACAGCCCCACACACGAGCCGGTGTCCTTAAATAAAGGTTTTTAAACTCACCGTCGCTCTAAGACATGACGAGTCGATCACAGAACAGCCTCCACACATGAGCCGGTGTCCTTAATTAAAGGTTTTTAAACTCACCGTCGCTCTAGACATGACGAGTCGATCACGGCACAACGGTAAGCGAAAATAACTCATTACCAACTAGAACTGCACGATCCTCACTCAAGCGGTGTCAACTCGCACTCGTGGGATGGAACAGCCTCCACATGAGCCGGTGTCCTTAAACAGGATTTTAACTCACCGCCGCTCTTGACATGACGAGTCGATCACTAAGATGAACAGCCTCCATCCAACGGCGCTGCGTTGATGCTGGCGCACACACACAGCTGCCGGCGCTAACCAGCTCACATCGGTATAAATGTGGTCCGCAGGCTGGTTCGGGTGGGGGCCCCTCTCTCTCACAAGAAACGACACCCGTCTCGACGAATCAACGCGGGCAGCCGTCACCACCGCGTCTCAGCTTTCGGCAGCTCACCGCAGCTAAACGTGAAGCAGCTGAAGAACCCGGTAATGAGTCCCGCCTCCCTCCAGCGCGCGCCCCTCCAGCGAGAGCGGCGCGCTTCCCTCCAGAGACAACGGGTGCTCCCGCGGGGCTAGCAGCCTTCACTCCAACAGCACGGCGTAAACGAAGTCACGCCCTCCGCCTTTTCAACGTTCGCACAGCGACGTCAAACGCGCAGCCCCACCGCGTCATCAGCTGTCACACGCTTCGCCTCAGCACAAGTCTCGCCCGGGATCACACAGAAAACATTCCCGCGACGCATGACGGCGGTTGAGGGGCGGACGGCTGACAGCCGTACAAAACATGACACATCACTTAACGCACGTTCACCCTACGAACGTTACGTAGAGTGGCTAAAACATGCTCGCCGTTTTTCAGATGGATGGACAAGGTTTTTATGCAAATGGTACAAGTTACAGTTTGCAACCCGAACCCCTCCATTCAGAGGAGTTATAAAAAACGGCCCCGTCATCATCAGACTAAATCTCATCCCTAAATGCAGAAATCCAAGTGTTTTCTGATAAAAGTAATCTACAGAGTTCCCCAAGGGAGAGAAAACACAAGGTTTTTACTCACGGATCGGAGGGGTGAGACCG